CACATTTTTATAAATTAATATCAAGACTATTCTCTTCGCTTTGCCTTTATACTTGTACGCGAACGGCGTGTAAAGGAATAGATCAGATATCCTACGGTGTTTATGCGTAAACGCCCAATGTTGGATCCCGTTAGGCCGTCGTATACGCGTCGTCTCCACCTGCGACTGAAAAAATCGCGTGATTACACGTGCGTGCGCGCGCGTGCATCGCGCATAATGAAGGAGCGGCTCCGAGATGCGACGCGACGCGAACGGCCGTTACATCATTTATCTCGCGGAAATCGTAGACTCGCATCGAAATAGCCAACGCACGTCTCCATGTTTCATCCTATAACGCATGTACACGCACACGCAAATGAGACGTATATGTGCCGCATCGCATACATCTCACGTTTGCGCGTGGGTGCGGGCCACGTGCGTAACACGTGTGTGCGTACGTGCGTGTGTAAAGCGTCGACGAGAATGCGACGAAGAAATTGAATTACCGGAGGATGTATTCTGACACATGGGAGATCATTTATTTAAAATATGCTATATACTAAAGAGAGTTTGAACGCCATCGTCGGTCGGGTGACGGAATAAAACTTACACTTTGACATACGATTATTGCGGTAAGAAATTCTGCTCACGCTTTCTCGTCGTAAATGCACTGATTGAATAGCAGTTTACGTCAAAGTGTCAAACGCGTATAATTATATAGCGTGTTCCAGATGTATATAGAAGAGTTTTCAAACACCAAAGGGAAGAAGGGAGAATAATGATGAAGTTTCTAAATTGCAAATAATTTTTGTTTTTTTTTTCTTTTTTTTTTTTAAGAATGCACGTCACACTTCCAAGTTGCATCAAACAAGGGTCAGACGTTAATTCTAAGACACCCTGTGCAAGAAGATCCTCAAGAATTAACAAGCGGTTTTTGCTCCTTTGAGACATCCGGTATGCGAGTGTGAATACATTTCACTCGTCTCTTCGCAGACGACGCGTCGCGTGATAATGAATCTCGGTGAGGAAAAGCTGCTGCCTTTATGACGTTCTAGTCGATTAAGCGGGATGTAATCGCAGCTGCCCGCCAGCAGACGCGCGTTTCACGCGGACCTTTCGCGTCGCTGCTGCAACGGAGACGCGTAATCCAATTTGACGAGATTGCGTTTTCGCGCGATCTCGTCTGCCCGGAGCTGTCTTTTCCCACTGCGTGTTGCATCGTCGCGTATGATATTCTACTCGAGCTTTATTGACACTTCTGTATTGTGAATATCCTTCGCATATCTTTACATATTATATTAATATTTGTCGGAATAAAGTATTGAAATTTAGTCGAACAATCTTACCATTCTCAATCTTTTTATCGGCAAAAACTTTTTTATAAAAAAAAAAAAATTGGATTAAAGATATTTCGACGCGCGACACTGACTTTCGGAGCTGTAAAGATATCGATTCCTTGCTAAATTTAATCTTAAACCTCATTCGCGTACGGATCACGTGTGTATAATAAACATGTAGACATTAATGAGATACGATAGTAATTTATAGGACGCTATATAAGTCGCGACGGTATGCGAAAACGATACTGGGTGTGGTAAACCTCGTGAGCGCACTGATAAGAGTTTCCATGGATAATCCTGTGTACTCACTATGTTACGGCCACTGGCACGACACTCACCTGAAAAAGAATGGAAAAGATGCTTTAATAATGTTATCATTTCATGAGATGGATTTAATCAAATTATATATCGGCGTATATATATTTTTTCGACGGCTGTAGATGATGATATGTTATAATGATACACGGTTTGAATTTAAATTATTCATACTTGACATTCCTACGTAAGAAAGCTTTGCGTCTTAAGAACAAATTTCTATTTTGGAGTAACACTGGCGTTCGCTATAGCACAGATCTTCCTTCTTACAGATATCTTGTTTGCCAGTGTGAAACACGAATTTGCAATACAACATGGTATCAATAAGAAGGTTAATGGAAATGAAGCTAAATTGCTACTTGAATAAAAATAAGATGCTTTTCCAAATATGTATAATACTTTTTGTCGATGAACAATGATACCAAGTAATACAGTATTTCTGAAGCATTTGTTTCATAAGAATAAATAGTTTTTTACAAAAAGTGTTTTTATTAAAGCAGATCAATATGCGCCAATTAATTTTAAGGCATTTGTTATCACTATAAAATCTTGTTCTCACAATGTATCAGGATGATTAGACAAGACTTGTAATCCCAGTTACAGTCATGTTTTTCATGATAAAAAAGGCAAGAATATAAAAAAATTTAATTCTACAATTGTAAAACCACAGTGGAAAAAATCAGTCTAAAAATATCTTGTATGAAATTTTCTGTTTACACCACTATAATAATATAATAATGATATAACTTTTAATTAATAACATTAGCTTATAACATTAAATACTACGATATTTCAGTTATAAATATACTTTATACATGTATCACACATGTATAAAATACCATTTGTGAAAATAATTTTAGGAAAAAATTTTTTATATGAACGTTGTAATTGTTAAAATCGATATTATCAGGATATTATATATTTAAGTGTAACAACTTAATACTGGAATATTGTACTTAATACTGATCATCGATACATGTACGTTACTCTAAACGTACTTAAAGAAACGACATATAAATACTAAATTAAATTATCTGGTATATATATATATCTCGCGATAAACCAACGCAATTAATGTCTTTAAAAACATATCTGTCAATCAGCTATATTTTTTCTATGTTAGTGTTAATTTTTTCTCCATTGCACGCACTAGTACATTGGATAATTCTTCTTTTTTGTTCTTCCCAAGGTCTACAGTAACAGATATTTTCGTCGTATTTAATACGTTACTATCATCATTATTCGCATCTGCTTTGTAATCGCTTATTAATTTCGCTATTTCATTTGGCTTTAATGGGGATTGTTTGAATGGGATACATGCGCCATGCTTTTCACAATATTCCCAGAGTACTTTCCAGTTATCATTTGTGCAAAGAATATCTGGATTGCCTATTATTATCATAAGTGCTTTTGCACGTGTCAGAGCAACATTAAATCTCTATATAAAAATCGAGATCTTTATATATATATATATAAACAATATTATAAAAATACTATAAACGTGTGTATTTTTAATAACATTTGAAAGTAAACATTTGGAGTCGAACTCGATATAAACTTTTAGTTATAATAATTCACATAGTTTTTTTTTTCGAGTCATTATTATTATTATGGTTCGAGTACAAAGAAACAAAACGTACAATGAAATAATATTAATGTTTATTGATATGCGAGAAAATAAAGCATACAATAGTAAATGCATTTTTAGCATAGTTTACTTTCATGAGCTGAATCAAAAGTTGATGAAAATGATACGTTAACACAGCGTTTATAAAGAGCACATCAGAGATAACAATTCACAATACCGTCCAAATCATATAACGGACATAATACATCAAGTAAAAGGTCACAAAAATTATTATGTGAAATAGCCATTTTTCTGGTCGCTATTCGCTGCTTCGAACAACTGCGAGATTTATCAACGGGTTTTGTCAACATCGTGTTTAGAAACGCTGCTGTGTTAACTCGGTCATGTGATACGAACGCGTTATCCAAATCGTCTGGTGAAACATGCCAAACACAAATCGGACGTCGATAGGCGCAATAAATCATGTCTCCAACACCGGAAGTGCATCACCGGCATTGTCGGCTTGACACACTTTGTCCTTTAGATATGTGCAATTGCGATCGTAACTAGTTCACTCCAAATCGATATCTGCTCGCGACGAAAAACAATATCAGAGATTGATTTTATTGAGAAGAGAAGAGAAAAAAATATAATTGGGGCATGAGTAAAAACGGTGAAACTATAACATGAAATGTCAAAAGTCAAGCTCTGTCTCGAAACACGTGATCTATAATCTACAGAAATAAATCTCTCTCTTTTGAAGAAAAATACTCGCGAGCACAAGCACGTGCAGGGCGATAAGTCAAAGTTGTTGAAATTAAAATGAACGAATTATTTTTTTATGTAAATAGCTCTGAAGATTTCTTTAAACTGCAGTTACTGGTGTGTAAAGAAATCTTACTTGACGATACTGAAAATATTATTTTCGATATATATTGAAATATGAATTTTTACTATATCATTATCCACGGTCTACGTGCGATCGCGTTTATTTAAAAATGTCAGACCGAAAGTGTTTTGCTACCCCTAGAAGAAGAGACATTCCGTCGCGCTACCGATACCGCAACGCGCCCGATGTAAACACGATCGAAACAAGAAAAAGGGCTGGAGAGAGGGAACAAGACGTACCGCGAGTTTGCCGAGAATGATAGCCCGTCAAGGCTGCCGCTGCTTGACAGCCTGACCTCGTGCCACGAGGCCGCGACGTTATATTTACCACCTGGAAGTGCTTAGAAGGAGGTTCTCATCCGCGTTCCCTAATGGTCTATTATCGGACGGTCTATTAAAGGGAATGTGCTTGAGCGAGGACCGTTACGCCTGTCGCGCGAAAATTACAGGATAGCGTTACGTCCGCGGTGATAAAACGCAACGTGTAACAAATTTATCCCGAGACATTATAATCTTGACTTGCATTTTAATATGTTAAGTACAGGATATACGATAAAATTAACATGTCAAGTGTTCTTCAAATATGTCGAGATTTAACTAAAATCACATTGCAATAAAAAAGATTTATTTCAAAATAAAAAAAAAAAGTTCTTCAAAATTACTTTTTCTATAAATAATTGCAATACTATATATGATATTTTATATTTTAATGTTCAAAACATTTATCTTTTTCTTAAAAGAAGTATGTTATAAAATATCTTAGCAAAGAAATATAGAATATGTATGATTTTCAAAATCCAACAAGTTAAACGCTGACATTGTCATATTTTATATTCATTTCTGTTTTAATTTTTTTTATAAATAGTAAAAAATGTTAAAGTAGAGTAAATACAAGAGAAATCTTTCGAAAAGACCGCCAAACGAAATCGATACTGAGCGACGACAGCGCTCGTGAGCCTTCTCACGCCGACATGTGATCATTAGCATATGCTGCGTAATACCACAACTTCATCTTCATGAAGAAAAGAAAGAAAATATAAGTATATACGTTATATTCACAGGAACACGCGCGCACATTAAATGGACATATGTACGGTGCTTGTATCAAATCATCAACTGCAAGTAAGATCCAAGTGACAGCGTTAACTGGAACCAATGACTGTAACTACATCTGTTCGCCAACAGAAAAATTGTACGCATGCGTAAAAGTGAGTACCCCACTGATACCAATATAGACACGATACACTTTCAACATACTCAGATGTTTAAGCAAAATATTTTTATATAATTTTTGCTTGCAAATATTTATTATGCTCATATACGAAATTATTAATGTCAAGAGAGAGGAAGATAAAATATTAAATATAAATAAGATAATTACAAAATGCACATTATTTGATCGATAGCAAAAATATTGATTAAATAACGCGAATATACTTGCGTACAGATATAAATTAGCAACGTGCTTCTTCGATTGCGCGATTGTACTAATAAGAAAGAATTAGATCGCGGAAGGGATTATCCCTCCATCGTAATTTACCGCGTGAATAGAAGCGAGATTCAATCTATTGTACATGATTACAATTGTCCGACTATATTATCTGATATATCTACTTTCAATATCGCTGCTTAAAAAAAAAAAAAAATAATAATCGCGTGCAGATCCTAAATGAATTTTCCTTGCGCGCTACAACGTCGATAACAATTGCGTGCGATCGAGATAACACGATCAGCATTTTTCCAAAACGATCGTTTATCAAAATTACAATGGCAAAAACAAAAACGCGCAAATTGGAACTACATAAATAACTGTATGTCGAGTGTACCGTCTGTAATTTGGCTTAACAATTACGACACCCGTCATTCAAAGTATTCCTGGAACTTCGCAACTTCATCTCCGATGAAGCAATCAAAATCGCATAGCGGCAAATTCATGCACGCTGATGCGCAACAGTTGACGTGCACCATTAATTACGTTGTTGCTCATTCCGATGCTCTGACGCCGCGAACATGTGTAAAAGACGGAAACATTAACGTTAACCGCGATCGCGCTTCCAACGAGCGATTGTATTGAACCTCGTTAACCTTGACATTTTGAGCGACTCATGCCTCGCGTTTATTTTAGAAAGGTAGAAAGATACACACCGTGACGAATTTTTACCCCGCGGATCGATAAGCGATACTATTGAGTATGATGCAATTCTGTCACCATCTATTTATGCAAGAACACGCAAACTCTCCTATAAGTATGGTCGTTACTTTCAATTGCACGTTCTTGGATTAATCTAAATGTAGTATCTATGTGGTATATTTTCTTAACAAAAATATTTGATTGATTGCATTATCTTTCTTGCAACTTTTCCATCTTTCGCATTAAATATTCTAATTGGGATTGTAATTAAATTTTTGTTAAAATTAAATAGATTCAAAATAAATTAACGCAATTGAATGCAATTTACTTTTTGTTAAGCTTAATTTGCTAAAAAATTTCTACACTTTCAATAACTTGAGAATTGTACATATCTTGATATCGAGGAAACAATCTCAAAGATTTTGTTTTATATTTCAAACTTCAGGTTCAGTTTTTAATTATTATCAGTTTTTGATTCTAAAATTAATTTAATATTTTTTACGGATATTTTACCAAATTCTTTCTTATTAAACGCTAATTATTATCCAAATCAGGAAGAATATAGATGTATTCACATTATATGATCAACATCTTACAGTAACCTTTATAATTATGATAGCTTGAATATATGCTTCCGAATATTAACCCGCTTTACCTGCTTTTTACGATCTTTAATTTTTTTTAAATAAAATCGCCTATAACGCAAAAAAAAATTACAAAGATTCTTTTTAAATTTAATATCAACGAAAATTGCACAGATTCGATCGAAGAGTTGATCAGCAAAATCCAATCAGGAATGATCGTCAAATCGCAAGTTGGACGAAGAATGCTATTCACCACGAGATATGCTAATTTCTGGGTAAAAATACTTGAGAAAAAAAAGAAGAAGAAACCGTTGGCGTCAGAGGTTAGTGTGTCTCTCATTTCTCCGTTAATTAATCTGACCGCTCCCTTAATTATCCCTCGGAGTTGTGCTTTATATCAGTTCGAGAGAAATCTCTCAGGGGATCACACGCGCACTTTCCCCAGACATTTCTTACGTAACAATGTATGTCCGTGTTACAATTCGCGTGTTTCCATTCCCGCGGCACATCACGATCGCACGACCTCAATAATCCTCGTGAATCTTCCCAGTCGGATAGATTCCAAGAATCCACCGTTTCAAGCATTGCGTATTACATCGAGAGATTACGAATGCCATTCTTTCATTATTTTCAAATGTTCTAGCTTATCTCGAATCAAATTTGCGCGGTATGTAAGCTTTATCTGAAAAGAATTAGGATCCTGATATTTTTATTTTCTTAAATACAAAATAAACTTCGCTAATCTCCGTTGCATTATGAGCAATTCATTGTCAAATCAACGTGTAAAGGTCAAATAGATATCTGCTAAATATAAATTTTTCCTTTATTGATTCTTATATTCATTTACAATAGAAACTTGATTTTTATACATAAAATATATAAAAATATTTTACAATTTAATAAACTTTAATTTTTTCACTAGATATCTCTCTATATATATCTTATTTATCGATTATTTTTTTAAACATTGGTTAATTCTTACTCCACTGTGGTGTAAAATTACTCCTGCCGATGCAATTTAATTCCATGCTACGGTAATGCGAAACGGCAAATATACGAGTAATATGATCGCGCGTGTTGAAAAACGACATCAGCAATCGGATGGCAGTTCGCGAGTAGTAGACAAACGCTCGGACTTTTAAAACCATACCAATATTGATACTTGCAACGCGACGCACGGATCAATTCCTTTTTATGCAATCACGGAAAGCCGGAAGGGGCACCAGCCGTTTGACGGCGCGGTGTCAACGAGTCGACAAGCGTATAAGAAAAAGATGTCGTAACGGAATGTAACGGTCTTTATTTTGTTCCCTGCTCGCGATGATCCCTCCGAGCATATTTCCTCGACCGACCAACTATACAAAGCGGCCTTCGCTTGTGATTGCGGCATAATACCGCGTGCAGGTCTTAACGAGCTACCTATTGCAAACCGGCGAGCCCCCCTGGACTTCGTACTTTGTCCGGTACGCCGACGTGGTGAACGATCAACGGGGAATGTCACACTTCAATTGGCCGGCGGGCGACAGTAATTACCACGTGCTTAGGACCGGCTGTTTCCCGTACATCAAGTATCATTGCAGCAAACGACCGGCGCAGGACCTCAGCGACGAGGACAGATTCTTCAAGGCGATCAAGATATTGAACCTTGGTAAGTAGCCGGATGCTCGCCTCGAAAAAGAAATTCATGTTCGGAAACGCGACCTTGTTTATTTACGCCGATCAAATGCGATAAACTGACAAGCTCATAAATCCTATAATTACTACGAATATGTGATGTCCCATAGAATCTCCGATATTAATTTCACAAGATTTTTTAAATACTTTGCTTTAATTAAAATATCGGGGGACATTTTTTTATTCGTCAGCGATTAAGAGTGAAAATAGACATTCGTGAATTAAGCTCCCAAATGGCGTTTAGTTAAGATAGGGAGTTTTGCGACACCCGGTATATTTCTCTTGATATAATTGAAATCAATCCGTATCTAAAATAACGATCGGAACAAGGCGTCACGGCAGAAACCACGCGATATCACCACAGGCGGTCTTACTTGACTTAATTTCCGAGAAGAGACGTGTAGAACAGCGACGACGACGACGACGACATCGTCGTCGTCGTCGTTGTCTTGTCACGGTCAACGTCTCGTTTCATTGACTGCTCCTCCTCGATCCGGAATTAGCCATGGCGAACGAGTTGAGCAATGCGATCTCAGCGACGACGCGATAAAACCCTCGACTTCTTGCCTCCTTGCGTTTGTTCAATCCAGGTATCCCCACCTTGATGTACGGACTGGCGGCGACGCAGCTTATCCGACACCACGAGATCGTGAAGACGCCTCAAGGCGACGTGACAATCCACTTCTTGCTACCGGAGGACAAAGGCGCGCCACACTAAGATCGCGACTAGCATCGATATTAATATTAATATCTATTCGAGTTTCCCATGTCTCACGATGGACTTTAATGACGGACTTAATGAAATACGAAGCCGTACCGAACGATTGTTACATGTTTTTTAATTTACCACGTCGTGATGTTACTTATTAATCCGGCGAATCCTCAAATACGGAATGAGGAGGGAATCAAGCAGCCAGTTTTGTCATTAACTTTCTTAATTGAAAAAATAGAGAATAATGATCCGAGACGGTTTTCTACACAAAGAAATGCGACAACTATATCTGTTATTGAACAGATAGTTAATCTATAGCTTGATCAAAATCACAATTAGATAGTAAGATCTTAATAAACAATATGACAAAATGCAAAATGGCATTGCTTTCCAATAAAAGAAATGTATTTTGAAATTTTTCTCAATACACTTGAGAGAATAGCACGTGCCAGTCTCTGCAGATCTTATTAATCAATTAAGATCAGGAAGGCGTTTATTAGCGACAAGATCAGTCGCGTGTGAATTTACGGGTAATTGACGGTTTCAGGTCAAACTTCGAAGGGTTTAAATAGGAACGCTTTTACATGCTTCGACGACGCGCCGATAAGACATGAAGTCTTATTTAATGAGAACAGCCGCGGGCGATTCGCACCTAGAACAAGGTGCGAACGCGCATAGTTAACATTAAAGCGGCTTTCTAATTAGCTACTACTCGCGTTTCCCGGCTTGATGATGCATTAATTTTGTCGACTCGTTTATCCGCCCCGAACTTGTTTGCATGGAGAACGTAACGTACGATAATGAAAGCTCCCGTTGCCGACCGTTGGCATTAAGTCCGCGATTTATACGAGTGTCGAACGCGACGCATAATAATTCGTTATAATTATTATGGCTATGGATGGATTACGATTGGCGAGCGAACATCCCCTTATTCGAATCGATCGATATGCCGGATATATCGCAGTAAGATAAGTCACTTCTAAAGGACACGCTCCGTCAATTACAGATGCGATTGCACATTGCCCGTAACCCTCGGCGACGTGCGCAAAGCGTGCAGCTGTTCAAAATAAACGTGATCTGAACTTGGTGAAGTATCCTTCGTAAGATATACTCATGAGATTTGACTCGCAAATATTCCTTTATAGCTTTAAGATGCGTTTATAAATTCATAATTATACATTCAATTTTCGTATAGCTCATAATTTAACATTATAATTATTTCCGATCTCTCTTGTGAATAATACTTTGTGAAAAATTTTATGGAATAGAAGTACAAATCTTGAATTTTTTATCACATTTATAAATTCATGATTTTTATCTTTATTATAATAACAATATAATTTTTGGTTTTATTAATTTTACCAAGTTTAGATTTGAGATATTTTGAAATGATGAAATATGGCTCAAAATGATGGAATATGCATAATAGTTGCAATTACTTGTATCATTAATTGTAAAATTTTGTTCTAGCTAGTAATATCTTGATTATACCCTATCAAAATATATATATTAATAATAAGTTATAATAGTCATTTTATGCACGTCAAACCTGGAAATCAATGCGGTAAAAATAAATACAGAAAATCTACAGTGAACTACAATTTTTTTTGGCAAATGGATCAGATCAATAATGTTATTAGTGTAGCAGGTGCAGTGATATTTAAATTTCACGCAACGCAGGCGACAGATAAAAATTCATTAGCGAACCGTGAAATATTACGCAATGACATTTCGAGCCTTTTCCCGACATTTACGATTGCGCTTGCGAAAGTTTTCGTCGTTTCCAATCGACGCCACCACATGGCATGCATACATGCACGCATGCATTTCTCCGAATGGCTATTTATCATTCGATGATTATGTCGACAAAAAGGAAAATAAATAAAAGCCGAATAAAAGTATTAATTAACTACTGGCTTTCACATTGGTATTTTAGCAGATTTTCACCAATCTGTACTTTTGCGTTTGTCACGAATAACGTCTTCGATCTTGCCTTTTTTGGGAGAAACATACAATATTCTCGTTCTCCATTTCCTTTAACGAGGCGTAATCTGAGTAGCATAACCGAGGACCAAAACGATCGAGTGTATTGTATTTTTTTTTTTTTTTTTTTTTTTTTTTTGAACGTAAAGAGTTGACTTTATCATAAAGGCAATTAAGAAACACAAAATATAGGACTATTTCAAGGTATGAAATATTTAACCGCTGGCACGTACAAGATTCTTATTTGTGATAATATTTTCAAGGACTTAATTTCTACGCAGATCCTGATAGAATTAATAGAATAAAAGAAATCAGTTAAAGTTATTAATGTTAACAAAAATTGTAAATTTTTTTACAACTCGCACATATTTAAAATTTTTTGTTAGAAAAACATTACAAGATAGAAAATGTCAGTTAGAAAATAGTGAACAGCATGCTTTTTTTATGGTGACCATTTTTATTTCACGGATCAAGTTCAATGAACTAATATAGATACTCATACTTGGCGATTATCAGTCGATTCGATCCGCAGAATAACTCGAGTATCCAGCGATCATAAGAAATATCTGGTATCTAATAGATAACGAGATTTCTAGAGCGATCCAGTCTTATAACGCCGGATCGGTCAGACGCACTCTCAGGTTCCTCAGATTCATTTAGATGATCAGATAGGAGGACGATCGGAGGGGAATGGAAGACGAAAGAAGAAGAGAGAGAGAGAGAGAGAAAAAGAGCGGGCGGGTGGGAATTTTATGATGCTCGTTAGGAGCCTCGGAGAAGGCTAGTTATGCTGATTAGATCGAGTTTACATATCGAGAAAGTATGCAACTACGACATATTAATAGCATCGCGCCCAAGAACGATAAGGACGACGATCAGCGCTATGACAGTCGCAGGTTCAAAAAAAGGATGGTCTCTCGTTTTCGCGAAGATTATAAGAGGGTGACGATAACGATAATAGGCCCTGTCACGCGTATCAGAGTTGAGCGGCGTTGCTGCAGTCGGTGCTAAATAACATCGCCTAACGACAAAAGGGATAGGATAATTGACAGGAACGAAGGAAGCCGATTACAACGTATTATTTCCTGCGATTCTGCTTCCTGCGCGAAGCGCGAAACTCCCTGCGAGCTATCGCGTTGTCTTTCCTAGTCTAGACCACACAACGGAGAATCTCGCAACGAATTTTATACAATTATAATATAAAATTTACGAGATACTTATCGACATGTGTCATGAATAATGTGTGTTGAATGACGTCTTAAACTATAAATTAATGTCAAGAAGAGGAATTATTAATGTAAGATGATCTGTAAGAATTATTCTTGTCTCTACATATATATATACATATAT